ACACACACTCGAATCAGTCTGCAATGAAGCGAATGTACACCGTGCAAGTCGTCATTTATGCAAAGCAACAAATAAAAAAGTAAAATCGCCAAATTGCCGTTGAATGAAACTCTGACATCATGTGATTCAAAATTCAACTGGAAATTGCCCTTAATACGTTTTTGTAAAACCAAACAGTCAGCAATTGTCAATGATTGTTCTGTTGTTGAGCGGTTTTCGTTTGTTTTTGCTCAAAGTGAATTACGATTTGTATCAATTTATTTATGGCTCAATTCCATTTAATTGTACATCTCATTTACATTTTTGAAATGGTTTGAAGTGAAACAATCGAGCGAGAGATAATATGAGATTCTAATAATAATAATAAACAGCGTCCAAGTTTTTTTTTTATTTGACGCATACATTTTGATCGACCGATTCGATGAATAAAATATTTCTCCGTTTGTTTATTTCCGTTTCATCACAGATCGCAATTGTCCGATGTAGTTCACATCGACAGAAACCCAATTGAAATTAAGATGTAGGGTTGTTCTGTGAACTTTCTGCTCATCCGTGTCGGATGAGATGACATTATGCACTTTCGATTGAGTTGCAAAAATCTCAAATCAAAATCATCTCACTATTTTATTGACACAATTAATGTCGGTGTTATTTCCCATAAATAATAACAAACAAACAAACAAGAAGAAAAAAAACAAAATGTTGCAAATCAAATCGATGCACAATACCCCGCGGGAGAAGTGAATGTAGAAGGTTGCTTTTGTCCTTGCTTTAGTTTTAGAATGCTTTAAAAGATGAGTAGAGGAGAGAAAAAAAAAACAGACACACAGTTCTTTTCCATCCGTTTCGGCTCTTTGAAATGTGTGTATGTGGCGACGTTTGCACATTTGCACATACACAATAAGATGAATAAACAAAATTCACGCCAATTAAGCAATTTGAAATAGTTACCACCCCAACGATTTGATATCAATAAATACATAATCGTTGTCGTGGTCTTTCGATGCGCCCCTTTTATGTTTTTGTGCGTTTTGTCATTTTCTTTTTGAATGTTCGGAATTTTCTGCAAAATCGCTTGAATCTCACACAGTCCACTATTGCATAAACATCACAATTCGATCAATTGCTAACAAAAAGTTTTTTTTTCTCGCAATTCTTTCTTTTTTCAGCTAGTTGTTGTTAGCCTGGTTGCGACTCATGTGGCCATGCGAATGGAACAGAGCGCGCAAAAGATAGAAAGAGATCAATTGTGTGTAATGTGTTTTATGAATAAAAATGCATTGAACATAGATCAATGTGAGAAGAGAACATGCGTGTTTGATGCTGCCACCAGTCAGTATTAATGGCACGGACTGAATGAAAACCAGTCAACCAACCGACCCTTTTTTCTCATTCTTCCGGCCATTGTTCAATTGTTACATTACACACTCACACACAAACCGGGAGAGTATCGAAACGGTCTTTTTTTACCATCAATTCTAGCTATCTATCTCATTTTTACCCCTCGACTTTTGAGCCTATACTCTGCTTTGTTCTCTTCTATTTTTTTTTTCCTTCTTCATTTCCATACACACGTACGTGTATGTATTGCCATGCATGGGTTATGAAATTTATAGTTTTATTTCATTCAATATCTGACAATTGCCCACACGCTATTTAACATTCAATAGAAAAATTTATAGGAATATTTATTTCATTCTTCGTGAACTGAAAACGACTATCTTGCTTTCGGTGTCTGTGTACATTTTGCCTCTCGATTGCAGAGTACAAACATACGTTTGGCTGACATTTTGAGCGCGCGCTCGCTTCTTCCCGTTCGCGGATAAAAGTATCATTTTCAGTTGTGTAATGATTTGTGTGATGTTTTGTTGATTATGCATCGACGGTCGTCGTCGTTGTTGTTGTTTTTTTCGTTTGCAATCGATTTCGATCAAGTAAATTTAGGAACTAAACAACAATTAACCTTAACGATTTAATGATTTAATGCAAGCGACCAGTCGATTACGGAGCGTGTGAATCAATGCTGCTTGAATGTCCTATCACATACAGATAATTTTAATGATTCATGTTTGTTTTGCTCTTTCAATAAACATTATCTCTCTGTTTCACATCTAAATTGACTTATTGTGAAGTACTCTCACGCTTTCATCCCTCCCTTGAATAGCACAACTACGAAGTTTATTGTGCGCATCAAGCATCAAACAGTTAAGCACTATGCGCAACGAATTACACACACTCACTCTGCATGATACACTTTCACACCAAAACGTGCGCCACACTGTTTGGTACTTCTACTTTTAAGTTCATTATTATCAACACGTTTTGTGCATCATCATTGTTATGCTATCGTATGAATTGGCAACTAAAATTAGCTGCGCTCTTGAACCATTTATAACAAATAAAGTGATCATCCAACCGAATTTTTGTTTTACCCATGACAATGACAATGTTTTTATTTGTTTTGCCTGAATTTGGCTTTTCATTATTATTCATTGTGGTTTTATCGTTTTGACATGGCTTTGCACTAATGATTTTAAACTTTTCAATTATCTGATATTAGTTATATCTAAAATTGTGCATTTCTTTGATACATTTTCGATAGTTTTTACAATGATTGGATTTTTTATGTCTTGATTTTATTGATAATATTTTCAAAGCAAGAAACAAAATTAAATGCTCAATAAAGGTTTGTTTTGAGATAAGTCACTGGATTTCAAGGCGAAAAATGTCAACAAGTTTTTGTTCATCAAAGCAATAAAAAATTCTGCGCAATTTAAAATCGAATACATTCTGTAGGAATTCTTAAAATTGAATCCATTAAAGAGTCTTCTTCAAGCAATTAATATAAATAATTTACTAATTCAGCGGCTGTGAACCCTTTTTTAAATCAATCGAGACGAGGTCGTTATTGATAATAATAAAAAGTCTGTAAATTCAAATTTATTATGCTTGCATTACCTAATAGGTTGGAGGAAAACTGTGTGTTGTTGTAGAATTTTAAAAGGTCAGCTTTATGTTAGATAGGATGTTCAATTTTCAGGCTTTCGAATAAGCCTAGTTTGTACTGTTATTTAATCAATGAGATAGTTGTTTGTTGGATGGCGTGTGCCTAATAGAATGTGTTTGACTACATTTGTAAACAAAGAATAACTCAACGCTTTATACCATTTCTCCACTCGTATCTAATTAACATTCAAAGCTTCAGCCCAATAAAAGCTGTTCACAAATGTAGAATAAATGCGAGTGGAGCAGGTCATATAAAAATGGTACAAAAAACTGTTATAATTTCATAGTCATTCTTTATTTGACTTGAAGTGTAAAATGGTAAAAGCTAGGATTACAATCGATTAAAGTTGCTTTTCACACAACTTTTAAATTTAATGATCCAGGTAATTCGGGTTGTAAGTCAACTAAACATCTTATTTTGTTCAATACAATCACATTTCCAGATTTAGAACGTGAAAAAGTAACCGCATTCAATGAGTTTTGATATATGATTGGGCCAGAATAAAAATTCGGCTAATGATTTGGTCTATAAAAGTGGAAGACGGAGTTTTTTTCCATATTTTTGTTGTTTTTTACAACAAATAAACAATAATAATACACCGCCAAGAACTGGCTGTCTTTATTTAGTCATAGTAATAAGTGTTGTCAGGGAAAAGGTATGGATCATTGATCGGAATCGGTCTCACCACCATTAAAACCTGTCTCGCCACCATTAATTTTATCATAGCAATCACATGTTATCTTGTGTACTTTATATAATGGGTCGCCCCAACAAATGGCCGAAATTATAATTGTCATCTTGTCATTTATCAGACTTGAATAGTAAAATTTGTAGTATATTCGGGCATTTGAGAATTTAATAGATTGATTTTAGATGGTTTTTGACAATGTTTCTTGATTTAGATTGATGGAACAGATTTTGAACTTTTTGATTGTTTGCGAGTTTGCACATTAGCGTAAGTGAGATCTAGAAAATTTGATCGGTGATTTTGAATAATTCAGTTCTTCTTCAGTTTAACGTGTTAATATTTTTAGTGATGTCTCTCGTCAATAGCGGACCAAAGCGCGACGATGACAAACAACGTTGACAGTAGTGCCATGGTGCGGTTGCCAGCGAAACTAAAAAATGGCACAACTTTCGATCGCCTAAATCAAAAATGGTACAAATTTGTGCCACCCAACATAAACAGTGACAACCATAACGAAGTTGCTGCGTTGCCCAGCTGTCATTGTCGTCGTGCTTTGTAGCGGATAATGTATGTTGTTTTTTATCAGGTCATAGAGAAATAAAATCGATGTATTTTTTCGACGCCGTTGTAACGATGTCATTTCGAGGTTTATGAGCCGTTGGTTAAATGTATATCATATTCGTAAATAGTGGCTTTTTAGGAAATTTCAATTTTGTGAGTGAGTCTTCAATGTGGATGTAAAAATTATTTCATCTTATCTCAAGATTTTCGAAATCTAGTTATCTATTCAATTTTCTTGGGGTGTCAACTTTTGGTCAGACATTATATTGATATATTTTCAGCCAGATGAATCAGCTCAGCCAGATATGATCAGGAGCTGAAATTGAGTGAAAACAATAGAAGTGATTGTTATGGCTATAATTACACTTACATTGCTACAATCACTTCTATTGTTTTCACTCAATTTCAGCTCCTGCCGATGCCCGGCTGAGCTGATTCATCTGTCTGAAAATATCTCAATAAAATGTCTGCTTTTGGTGGATAATCAATAAAGAATCTTCTTCTTCTCTTTCATTTTCACGAGTGAATCTTAGGAAGGCATTGATTTGTATTTTGCAAAATTATTTTTCGCTGTTTTAATTTACGATATTCAGTTCTTTTTGTAGCAAAATTGAATACACTGTGAAATAAACATAAAAAATAAAACAAATAAAAAAAACACAATCAAAACTTGCGAAAAATACAAAATGAAATGAAAATGGGTCTCATCATGTTGGTGGAATGGGAATACGTGTTTTAACTAACCTTGTCGTAATTTTGAATCAACAATGCTGTCCATAGATTGTGATAGAGATGAGGTGGATAAGGTGTTTGTAGTTGGAATTGTTGTCGATCCCGTTGATATGGTTGTCAACGCGTCTATTCGATGTTTTTGTTGTAAATGTGCATTGTTTATCGTTGTGGAACCGTTGCTGTTTGTCGAATTAAAATTATTACTATTGATATGGCCAAGATTGGCGTTTGTCAGGCAGCCACTACCAAATGACATACTGTTTTCCAACGACTCTGCCAATCGCGGTGTTGTATAAATCTCACTGAAAATATAATATTCCATTAAAAAAACAACAATTGTAATAGAAACACATCGAAGCTATCGAGTCAAAGCCTTTAAACACACACGATACCAATGAGTTAATTTAAATGTTAAAGCTTACCTAAATGCACTGGTTGTCAAAAATGTGCTCCGATCTTGGAGTGCAGCTTTGGCTTTTTTCACACTTTGCTTTATTTGTTCAAATGTCGATTGATGAAATCGATAAGTAGCCCAATCAGATGAACACTGTGCCATACCAAATCCATCTTCCGATTTTATCTGTATTGGAGATGCAATAAACTTATTACATTTAAACAGTTATTCATTAAGCTATTGTATTGGCACCGCAGAAGTACGGACACTAATGAGTACCACTTAATTCAAATCATTTTTTTAACTGTCGCATCTGAACACAAGAAACAGCAACATTTACAAGAATAGTGTCCACACCTCCGCGGTACCTATAACACCTTTGAAAATATTTCATTTCAAGTTTTAAACTAAATTAATAAGACCAAGGTGGGAAATTTTCAAATAAATAGCGTCAAAATAACTTATTTTTGTTTCGAAAATTCCGGCAAAGTGACTATATAAAGTAAATTCAATGTCCCGAGAAATGAGTCATAACTAAGTCTCAAACGAGTATTAAAATGAAAGGAGTTTTCCAATACGGTTTTCAAGATTGTGGAACAAAAGCTTAGTTTATATAAAAGAAAATATGAAGCGATAATTTTATTGCTAAATAAGGACGCAGACTAAAACTGACAAGGCAAAGCAGTTGCGCGTCTTCAACATAAAAATAAATGAAATAATTGGGCTTTTTGTTACCCTTCAAAAAGAAACTGAAATCAAGCTAACCTGTGCTAATGGAGATGCTCGTTTTAAGTCCAATGCAGACTGATATGAACATGAGCTTTCATACATTTTGCTATATTTCAAAACAAATCAATTACTCAAAAGTCTGATCGATTACAATTAAAATCAATGTTCAGAGAATTTCATTAAATTTCAATAAATGCTTTATTAATCAGTTTTTCGTTCTTTTCACTATTATGATCATAAATCTTGATCAACAAAAACCTTCACATATAAAAAGAGCACAAATATTTCATTAATTTTGTCTATTTTTGTTTTGTTTTTTATTCGTTTTAACACAATCGATCACAATCAAAATCAAATGGAATGGCGTATAATTATTAGTTCATTAACAAAATTGTTGGTCGGTAGTTGAAATCGCGTCGTTTGGACTACGTAGACATTGTAGGAAGTTCTTGTCCCTTTTATTTCTCTTTTTCTCTGTAATGTTTTTTTTTGCACTTAAGTTGTCTAGTTAAATTAGGAAGTCATTAGCACACTGAGAGGTAGCAATAATAGCGGTTAGCACTCAAGTGAGAAAGAATGCACATAACAAATCGTTGCGTGATAAATTCACGGTAAAGGTGAAAAAAAATAGTTTCCTTTTTGGATGTGTCATGAAACTAGTGAAATAGAAAAAAAAACTATGACACGGTGTTAAACTGTTTCACTATACACCACCGGTTTCATTGTTTGTCAGTTAAATGGATGGTTTTTGGTTTAGAAAAATCAAGAATAACGAATAATTGGCATAAAGTGTTCTAATTACACTACGCGTTTGTGTACACAGACGACAAAAAACAGCAGCGCGAACGATTGAGTGAAAGAGCGGAATAAGCTGTCAACAAGTCTTTAAGCGCGTGAAAAAAAAACAGACTCCACAATTTTCAATTTTCTTTCGGAAAACCTTACTCTCGTTCCGTATTTGATCGGTGTCAATTGGGAAATCTGTCAACGTATACGCGCGCACAAATACACCAAACACCACACACAAAAAACACTACAAAAGACCACCGTTTTTTACTTCACTTTCTCTCTGTGTTGGTTTTGTTTGTTTTTTTCGACTGCATTTATTTGTTTTTTTTTTTTGCGCGTATTAATGAATTGTTTTTGCACTCGGTGTGTAAGTAAATTTCCAAATGTGTTGAGATCGCAAAATTGTAAATTCGTGCAGTTGTCGATGATCTCTGTCGGCTGGTTTCTTTTGGTCGGGATTTGGTTTAGTTATCGTTGTTGTTGTTGTAATGTCGTCAGTAGTTAAACACGCGGATTTCGTGTATGTATAAATTAAATGCAAACAACGGAATAATTTCGGTCATTTAAACGGATAGAGACCAGATAAATATATGATTTTGTCGATGAATATGTTTGTGTAAAACGATGCATTACACGATGTACAATGATTATTGTACACAAAAGTACATACGCTCGTGCACACACACACAAACGTTTATAACTTCTTCCCTGTTACTTGCTATCTCGCTCTCCTTTTTTTTATTTTGTCGTTTGTTAGTAAATGAAAGCACGCACATTCACACAATTCTGCGTGTTCGTGTTTGCAAAAAATCAAAGTTGCCAGAAATGTGCAAAGTGTGGAATAGCAACAAAAACAAAACGTCGAACGAAAAGAGCATCAGATACAAAATGAAACAATTCACACCGAAATGAATGTAAAATGTTTAGTAACGATCAGAGGACTCTATGTATTTGGCCAAATGGGAGCTTACCAGTATCATATCTCTATGTGGTGTGTGTATGATATAGTATTGCTGCGACGACGACGACACACGGTATTGGTGAAAAATTTGCTATTGTGTCTCTTCATCCACCATACAAGTCGAAATGTGTGGTTGTGTGTGCGCGCAATTGTTACGAAATGGGGTAGATACTGCCATTTTCATGCGGGCGAGAGTGAGCGAGAAAATGTGCTAGCGACAATTTTGATATTCATTCGCCCACTACATTGCCGTTCTTCTTTTTTTTCGTTCGACATTTTATGTATAGACGTTCACAACAAACAAAATAAGCATAACTGATTCGTGTCGAGTCAGATATAAATAACATGACAAGTAGCAAATAGTTTTTAAACGGTGGATTAGTCTTTAGAATATTGTCAATTCGATTTGAATAGATTTTTTTTTGTTGTGCAGAAAATGTGCGTAAATTTTGAAAAGTGGCACTGTAATTATTAATTATTAAGTATTTGGTTTGAAAACAAAAATCCGGTATCAATGTGTAAATTTTGTAAAAGTAAAGAAAGAGTAAGAGATAGGGAGAATGTGACGATAGTAAATAGACAATAATATAAAAAGGATGGTATCCAATCCATGTGAGGAATGAGCACATACACAATCTGTTAGTGGTTGAATTGATGCGACGATTTGAGGCGTGGTTTCAATTTTGACAATCCCAAAAACGCATGCACAATACACAAACTCACACACATATACAAGCGTGTATCGTTCGCGTTCTACACACACGCAGATACAATTGAGATGACGCTCTTTCTATCTCTTGGATTTAATGTGTGTAAACTGAAATCGTTGCACGAGCAACGAAAGGAAGAAATAGAAAATGAAGAAAAAGACAGAAATCATCGTGTTATGTTTCAATTTTCGACCCACCATAAATAACTCGGTTTGCTTATGAACTGAAAAATTCTAACAAAGACGTATGGATTATTTTACGGCTGTCTTCACACAATTTTTAGGCAAAAGGTAAATGAGATAGAGAGGAAAACAATGAGCGAGTGTGATTCAAGTGAGTGCATATTCTTCATTGAAATCAAATATATATATTTATTTGCTGACGCTTTAGTTTCGTTTCGATTTCGGCGAATCAACAAATTTTTTTCGCAATGTGCGAGCTATAGTGACAGAACAAGGAAGGATATTCATCTTACATACAGACACATTGTTATATCCCCTTTTGCGCGCAACAGTCAAATCTTATATGATTTATCTTGGTATTTGTCGAATAAATTTTCCTCTACAGCATCCAGCCCGTGTGTTTGTGTGTGTGTGTGTGTGTGTGTGTGACGACGACGACATGAAAACCGAAAGATTTTCAACACTTTTCACAAAGAAAATGATGGGCTGTGCAACATATAATCAAAAGGAGGTACAAAGAAGTAGGTGTTATGCGAAGGGATTTTCAATCGCAAATTCCGTGGATGATGCGTGTGCGTGTATTGTATCTTTCATTGTGTGTAGGTGTTATTCTATAAATGATGTGCGTGCAAATAAAATGGAGTCTTAACTAAACCACAGAAAAAAGAAAAATGTTGGCAGAGGAACAAAAAGAATTTTAGAGAAGCAAGAACTGACTATATGATTTATATGGATTCAAATATGATTGTGCACTTGGAGAACGTGCACACGTTGTGAATAAAAAAAAACAACTTAACTCATGAATAATGTGCATAATGAAAGATCCTTTCATTTAACGATAACAATGCATTAGCTGGCTCTTTTACTTTAGCAAACTTGAATAGATGAAAAAGAACATTTGTTTTATCGTAATTTAAAAAATTCACTGTAAATTTTTTCCATTTTACATGTGCTGAGAAAATTTGGCGCAAAAATTAATGATTCTTGCCAATAAAAAAAAAGATTAATTATGCCTTGAAACCTTCAACATGTTAAGATAGAAATAATTTATGTAAATCGCAAAAGCAATTGGTAACTCTTGTTTTCAGGATCATTTTAGAATTTTTAACTTAATTGTTTTTGATATCGAATTATGAGATGAGACTCCCATTTTCTTCAATAAAATGATTTTTTCTCTCAGCAAACTCAGGTGGCAAATTTACAAGTAATCAAGTAACATTTTATACAGATTTTAAATTTGGAAAATAATGCGTGGATCTAAAAATGTAATTCAACCATTTTACCATCTTCTGCATAACATTTTACACTGATTACTTTTGATTTTTCCATCAAAGTTTGTTAAAAATTGAAACTTTTTTTTCAAAAATATTATTATTAATCCGATTATTGTGGATATGTTATCTTTAAATTAAGATAATGATCAAAACAAAAAAATCAAAATTTAAAAGAATAACTCAATTATTCGCAACGTCGGTAATTTATTCAAATAAATTATTGGTTTAAACATAGACTGAATTGGCTTGAAATTATTATTAACGTTTAAAAACAATCTTTCAATTTCCAAATTACGCATACTCGGGTTAAGAGATCTGGCTGGCTGGCTGACTAGGAAAATTTCTATAGAATTTTTAACTTTGGCTAATTTGAGATAATATGTGGTTAAAATTGTCAAAAATTGACCATTTTGGTCCCAAATGAATTAGTCTAGACATTTTCCCATGGGTAAAAAAGCATTTTAGTGTTAGTCACCATATCTACGAATGTCAATGATAAACATTCTTATTTTCGCATGTTTCCCAATCCCGTTGACAGTTTTCTAATTAATTTTCCAAATCACATTCATGCCGCTATGCCAATTAATCATTTGTTTTAATCAACATATCAAGCAAGAAGTTCTGTTGCTTGTTCGAACAAGCTGAATGCTTCTGTAAAATGTAAACGAGTTTGTAATAATTAACATAGATTATGATCTTGTACTTGTAAAAATCATTTGCAAACACATTCCAAAAGCATTTATGTAGAATAAGTTGTGAATTATGAACGTTTCGAATTAAAATATAAAAAATTAGCATAACATTTCATAGATTAAGTGTGTTATATTTGTTTGGGGGGGTGTTTTGGTATCGAAGTGCGTAAAAAGAGTGCTGAAAATTGAATGTTTTGAATGCCGGCGACGTCGTCAGTGTCAGTCGAGAAAGGAAATGAAAAATGAGTTTTTAGTTTTGTGCGTCATGAATGTTGCATTGGACGAACCTTGTAAACTAAACGAGAGCGAGCGAATGAATTTGTCAGCTACGACCGATCCAAATGTTTGTTGGATTGCCAAGAAAACCGATACAAATGTACCGGTGTATTTACTATTCTTCATCTTGTTGTTTTGGTGCTTTTTTCTTCGTACGTTATGGGTGGATGGCCAGGGAGACGTTGAGCGTAAATTTGCATTTGCAATTGTCAAACACAAAAAAATTAAACATCATTTCAAAACAACAACAATTTCAAATTATGCACTCCGGCAAACAGTTTGTTCTTATCATACATATATCTAAATGGAAACGTTGTCCTTGCCCCCTTTTTCGTGTGTGCGTACACAATTTTCTTGACACAATACGTGCGCTCTCCCTCCCTTCCTCCATTCGGTTCAATCTTTTTCTTTCGCCAACTTGCACCAAACAATACTATTAAAATCAACTATCAACCGACACGTGGCTCACTTAAACTTTTTTTTTTCATTCTCGGTTCGTTCATGCTAGACATTTCGTTGTGGCATTGCCTTTTATGTTTATTATTTATTTCTTCGGCGTTATGGCTTTTGACTGCTGTGAGTGTGTTGTTGCATTTTTCAATTGAACAACGAATCGGATCCTTCTCTCTCTCGTGCGCACTCTTTCTCTCTTCACCCCAGCTGCATCAATTTCAATAGGCACGTGATAATTGGCAGAGTTTGCACCATGCCAAATAAATGACTCTATTGTAACAAATAGAGAAAGAGAGTGAAAAAAAGAGATTGTTTATTTTTATTTGGCTGCTTATTTCATGTTCATGAGCCTCTTCAATGGTTTTAAGGCACTGTAATTACTAGGCTTTAAATTAAATCATGTTTGTTTGATGCTTGTTTAATTGAGTGTTCAAATGGATTTTATTAAATTAAAAAATAACTAAAACCAACTACTTTTGGGATCTATTTGAGGGTTTTCCGACATATGTTCGTCCAAATATTGAGATAATTTTATTTAATTCACATTTATTGACAAACCTTATTTTCCTGAATATATCTAATGCCATAAAAACGTCTTATCATTAAAAATTGGCAAAAATTAAATTAAAAATTGCAAAAAAGCCTAGTTGAACCAAATCTGCGCATTTCATTATAATTCATGCATATATGTTGTTCGATGAACATAAAAAAATGTTCCACGTGAAAAATTGTTCTTACATTTACTTTATGCGTCCTTTTCTTTCATATGAAAACCGAGCAAATTGAAAGAAACTCTATCATAAAACTAGAAATGAAAATGTATAAAATAAACTGTGCCTTTTTCTTTCGTGTTGGTTTTTTTTTTGTAGTCATTGTGTTGTGCCAGTGCGCCCTCGCTCTCTAAATCAGTCTCTCCGGCAGACATTTCGCTCTTTTCAGTTGTTCAGTGTCGCTCGTCGTTTTCTTTGTAAGAAATACATCGATTTTAATTATTTCCGTCATTTCTCATAACCGTTTTTGCCCAATTAAATTCTGTGTACGTTTTGAATAAAATCCATTATTGTGATCTCTGGTCTCGGTGAATGTGTGCGCGCCGTGACGCTGGCAAACGGTTTTGTTTCCATTTGATAATGTAAAGTACCTTTGAAGAAGGAGCAAAAGAGAAAGAGAATACGTGTGCCCGTTTACAGAAGGAATGAAAAATAAAAATGATTTCATTTCTTTCTCGATTTTCTCTTTTTTTTTCTTTTTGTGTCAATCGACATTTACTATATGAATTTCATTGAATAGAATATACAACAAAGGAAAAAAGAGAAACGGCGCAAAATATACGAAAGACTTGTTTGTGATATTATTCAAGCATGATAAATAGTTTTTCGTTGAGCTAATCACTTCGATCCTCGACCCAGCAGCCTTTGTTCTTCATCAATTTTATCTACCACGCTATTGATGTTATTCCACTCAAATCAATGTCACAACAACTTTGGTCAACCATCCGTATTTCAATGATTTAAATGATGACTTACTTTTTACATCGCAATCGTAACAATATATACTTAAACATATCAAATTTTACGTTTATTTCATGTCATAGGCCATTCACATAATTGAATCCCTTTGAGCATCTCTTTTTGAGCTGTGGTTTCTGTAATTATTTGTTAACATTTCGACCAAAATATCGATTTTTTTTTGTTCAACTTTATTGAGCGACAAAAGAACTGAATCAATCAAAAACTCCCCGTCTGAAATAATTTGGAATTGATGATAGAAAATGGTTGATATATCATTGAAATTGAAAGTAATATTTAAGAAAAAAATGGCTTTTCAATTACGGATCAATCTTTTTTTTTAATTTCAAATGATAAAGAAGAACAAAAAATAGATTGATGTTTTTGACGTGAATATTTTATAATGAGGAATTCACACTCGTACACGGTGAATTGAATGTTTGACTTCGGCGTTTATGCGGTCAACTCCAATACAGAATTATTATTATATAATTGCTCATTGTTCAGCTTTAATTTGAATAAAAGAATGTATGAAATCAAGTTCAAGATGACAACTTTCAATTTTAATAGAACAAAATAACATTAATCCCAATTGATTAAATACGAAATCGCGCATCAGCGATATTTTAAGAGTCGAACGTTTGTGTACACGTACGATCAATATATGACCTGATTTATATATGCAAAATAAGAAAAATACAAATGTGAAAATAAAATAAAAATATCACAAATGATAGTGAGAACATTTCTCGATCGAATAATATAGAAAATTGATAAGAATTGTATACGCATTTACATTCTTTTAGTTCCGATAAATTAAACGGAATTAAATAAACCATATCTCATTCTAAAATTGGAATAATGAATAAAACAAAATCGATTCAAATAGATGTCGCCGATAATTTTCACTCTCGAAGGTCAATCTCATCGAATTTGATTGCGAAATTTATATTTAAATAGCAAACAGTTCTGATGTAGCAAGCAATTTCGTTGTGCTCGAGAATATAAGATCGTTTTATTATCCGATTCAGATTGTGGAATATGGATGCACCAGCCAATTTCGTTCAGTGCGGTCTCAATTTAAATACTGGCGGTTTAATCATTGGATATTTTCAATTAATTACGTCGGCATTATTCCTTAAATATATATGTGCACCGGTTGTGATCTGCGTCATTTTTCGTAAGTAAATTTAACACTTTTTATTAAACCGCTTTATGACGAACAATTTCTTGTGGACAGATTTTTGATATCAATACAAAATAAATTGAACTTAGAAGTTTATCGTTCAAATTATTAAAATTGGACGAATTTCCGATATTTTTCAAATGAATTATTATTATTTTATTAACAAACTTCTTCGACATGAATAACATATTTTGATTTTGTTTGATGTCTAGTTCTGAATATGTTTTTGAGTTTTCCTTGGATTTATGGTTTACTCAGCGTAAGTATACTTATAGCTTCAAGGATGAGTTTTTTTTTTTTTAAATAAAATTTAATATTTTGATGAAAACAAAAATCATTTTCTTATAATTCAAACAGAATAAGTTAGGATTCATGTGGGTGAACATCGTTTGGACATCGTTCAAACTGTCGCTTGTTATCTGTGCATCGGTTTTCTGTGGGGTTTATATTGTCATTTACAATATTTTCAATGTAATTGGTGAGTCTTTTGACAAAAAAATGATACACTTTGATGATTCGTCTCTAGAATTGCTAAATTATGGATGGATCATTTGTACAGCAGTTGCAGGTATAATTTATATAAGTTTTGAGATGCGAAAATAATCCAAAAACCAAATATTATTCTTTCTAAATAAACCGCAGCACTGGAATGGGGACTATTATCTGCCATGAAGATTTTATACAAATCGAAGGAAAACGAAACATCTTCTGACACCGGCTCAACTAACAAGCACATTTTTTATACCGACAACATCTATAGTTTTGTAGCAAATGAGAAAAACGACCAAACTGAAAAATCTCACATTGAAAAAATAAGTTCGTAATGTGACAATATAAAATTATCAACAAACAAGTTTTATTCATAAATAAAATATTGTAAAAGGCAACAAAAAAATTACTTTTAAAATAGTTTTATTGTTCTATAATTGTTGAACTTCAAATGAACAATTCAATTTCAAAATGTTCGAAAAAAAGATGCTTTAGTAAGCGGAGTAAATAAGTGATTTTCCTTCAATGCCATTCAAAACATTTTGCGCAGCCACAATGGCCATATCGTCTCTGGTGTTACATGTTGCTGATCCCAAGTGTGGAACCAATACTGAAATGATTAAATTACACTGTCAACACACAAAAGCGAAACAGGTCTCAAGATTATACTTACCGCAATTGGGCAGTTTAGTAAGTGGATGATTGGGATCTAATGGTTCTGGTGTCATAACCTGATTTGCAAATTAAAAAATAAAATGATATGAGTTTTGTATTTAATGAAAATTTAAAAAATATAATTTACACTTACATCAAGACCAGCCGAAAATATTGTGCCATTTTTCAACGCTTCAATTAAATCATCTTGAACAACCAGTCCTAATTTGGATAGAAAAATTAAAAAAAAAAAAAAACATTTTTCTGCGCAAAAAAATAATAATAATAATGAAAAAACAAGACTGACCTCCGCGCGAAACATTAACAAACACCGAAGTCGGTTTCATTTTACCAAATGCCATTTTGTCAAACATATTTTTAGTTTCACTAGTCAATGGGCAGGCAGCGAAAACAAAATCAGATCGAGTCAAAAGTTCATCGAATGTTACAAATGAAGCACCCAATTGTTTGCCTGCATAATAATTCAAATTATAACATTTTCTTGAAAATATTTTAGTAAATATGGTTTTGTGTACCTTCATCTTTTTCACGATGTCCAGTGTATAAAACAGTGCCAACGTTGAAGCCTTTCAAACGATTCACAATCTTTTGTCCAATACCACCCAAACCAACAATTCCAACGGTGGCACCTTTAATATCTCGTCCTGTTTATATTTTTCAAGAGTAATTCAAATCAATTTTTAACCTTTTAGATCAGATACTTCATGATATAGTTCAATTATTCCAGAATTCGATATATAATCAAACTTACCAAGCATCCATTGTGGGTCGCTCGATTCCCATTGGTTGTTAATGATTTTTAAATAACCTTCATGGAAGCGTCGAGCAGCCGAGACCATCAAACCAATGGCCAAATCAGCAACAGCATCACTCAATACATTCGGAGTGTAACCTAATGGAATGCCACGTCGTTTCACTTCGGCCACATCAACGTAGTCAATTCCAGCAGATTTGGTAGAAACCACCTTCAACTGGGGTCCGGCACGATCCAATGCTTCAGCATTCAATGCCTCATGCGTTGCCCATAAAATACCGTCACAACCCTGAGATTTGGTTAATATCTCTTCTCGCGATGGTTCCGGCAATTCTTCACAAATAATCACCTCACATCTTGTTATACGACAAAAATGAAGAAAAATTCAATTAATTCACATTTTTACATATTTATTTCGTTTTGATGAAGAAAAAAAAAAACTTTGACGAATTTCAATAACTCACTTTTCACGCAAGAGTCGAACACCAGCTTCGGGAGTTTTTGAATGCGTTACTAAAACTTTTGGACGACGTACTGACATAATTGTGCTTATTGTAAAACGAACTCAAATGAAATGATGAACGTGGAATCAGTTCACTTTTATTGATGCATGGACTATCAGTTGAAATGTTTTTATCATTTGTAATAAACAAACCGCAAACAAAGATTATAATTTATCTCTGAAAATTTATCTATGAATGAGAAATGTTATTAACTAGGGGGGAGACACCAAAGAATATATTCTGAATCCACTATATTAATTCCTAATCCAGCTATTCCACTAATCCAAAAACACAAATGTGAAATCGAAAATATTTTTTATATTCCATGCACTGTTTCCGTCAAAAATGTTAATTCTGCTATTCCGCACTATTCCACTAATCCATCAATAAACGTCAAAAGAAACGTCAAAAGAAATGTCAAATGGATTTGAAGTGAAACAATTTTTGCTATTCCATTTACACCAAAAGTCCAATTCTATTCCACGTGTCTGCCCCCTAGGTTATGAGCCCAAAACTTGGTTATAGTACATGATTTAATAGATATGATTATAAGCTTGTCGATTATGAAGTTAATACTGATTCATTTTGGAAAATTTATTGACACGAAATGGTAATGATAAAAAAGGAAAATTTTTTTTTGTCAAGATCGTGATTGTGGCGTGTGCCTCTATCATAACCTTCAATACAAATTTCTGAGTCTGAATAGTTTGCTTACTTTTTATCAACATCACACAAAATGCGTATTGTTACGCTATCTATTGATGAAACCAATTCAACACATAAGCTTACATAACTTGAGCTTGCTTGATTTAGCTTAAACGAAATATAGTATTATATTCAAGTCTCATAGCGTATACGAAAGCTGAACGCTTCAATTGTTTTGATACTCGATATTTATAGTATAAACGGTATCATATTTTAGATATGGATGTGGCAACAGTACACAAAATGGCACGTATTATTACTTTACATTTTCATTTTGGAGAAAAACTTCTTGTATTTTTGTAGGTAGATTTTTCTGAACAACAAGTGCCTGCTCCAAATTATATTTCATTACATTTATATAATCAATGATATTATTTTCTTTGGATATTATTTCAATACAAATATCCAACTGTGTACTCAAATACTGCTCGATATTTTCATAGTTTTTCTTAGACTCTGCCATATTATGGAATTTGTATAAATGCTCAACAATATTGTCGGTGGTTTCTGTAAATTTTTCCATTCCAATGTCTCTGAATCTTTCGCCTTTATCTTCGGTTATTGCTGCTGATGTGATAACAACGTTTTTAATTGGTTTAATTAATCCTTCTAATTTTTGAATTTGTTTACGTAGTAAATTCCCCGTTTTGTTTGAATTTTTCAAAAAATCAGAATACTTAAAATTTAAATTTAAATATTGTTCATCTATGGGAATAGTTAGTATAGAAATGAATGAATTAATATTTGACACTTTTTCTTGAATGACCGAATCAAATGAGGTAAAATTAGCGACTGTCCAATTAATGCTGCAAACTGGTATATTCGCCGAATATAATAAAATTACATTTTTCTTCGTAAGTTCTGCTAAATCATCAAGCCATTTCTTTTGTACGCATGAAACCAAAGAATCTTTGATATTATTTATTGACTCGAAATCATTTGAAAAGAAGTTCGCTGCGCGCTCCCAAATGGAATCATCGATTAAGTATTTGTAAGAGGTGATCGACATTTCGCTTTCTTTTGCTGTAGATCCATCAATCTGCATAACAAAATCATCTCAAAATGAGTTTTTTATTACAAACTTCATTAAAATTAACCAAAAATAAATGAATATAATTTTCTTGTTCATATCATTATCAAAATTGCTGTTATTGAAAGTACTTGGAAGAAAAATTCCATTTTGATTACTGACTCTATATTAAAATAACTATTCACAAATAGTGTGTATGACAATTGTTTTCTTATTTTCGTCGATAAATTACTATTTGTAAGTCACACAATTGTATTTATAAATTACTATTTGTAAGTCACACAACTATTTATTTTGTATTTATCGCACACAATCTTGAGTTACCTTGGAATCGGTTTCATGAACAAGTAATCAAATAATATTAGAAAATCTTATTTCACCATTTGATATATATTTTAACCAGAAAAGAGAAAACGAAAACCATTAGAATGATAAATACAATGAACATCTTTGTTTGTTATCTCAATTTGTGCCGACAAACACATTATTATTGTATCCAATTTGAATTAATTCAAGCAACAATATTTTCAAGAAAATGTCATCACATTGGATAATTGATCTTTGTTTATCTTCTATTATTATTGATATAGTGATTGTCCAAATGATCCATTTGGGGATGAAATCTACTATCGCTAGCTCTATGGAGTTTAAACTGATGATATTGGAATCGAATCGATTGAAGGACGATTGATTTTTAATTGGGAAAGATCATTTATCTAATTTTGGAGAATATATGCGTACAAGATATCAACATCTCATTGGAACTAGTTATTTGCCGGAAAATGTCTACATTCGTAGTACTGATGAAAATAGAAAAGCGCAACTTAAGTGAGCTCCCATTTTTCATTTTTAAGTGCAGTAGGCAGCGTTATAGTAATAATATCCTTTCCTGTTAAATATCCCTTCACAATCATCATTCATTTCAATTACTTATGCTTGAAAATAACAATAATTGCAAATATTTTGCTTATTGATGCACGAGGAACGCAAATAGTTTACGCTCGACAGTATCATAACGTCGAATCTATAATGGCCCAAATAACACATTTGAATTATTCGAAAGAAAACATTTGAATAAGATGCTACATTATTTCAATAATTGTTTTTTTTTGTTCTTCAATAATTACTTTTTGATCTTTGAATCATCGTAGAATCCTGTTTTAAATTGATTAGTCTATCGAATCATCAGCAATACTCTGTAGGGCGATTTTCTCATAGTTTTATTTCGAGTTAAGTTACAATTACAAATTTTCGTAAAAGGTTTAAAGGTCTTCAAGTGTAAAAGGTATATTAGTAAAGCGAAATGGATATAAATCAAGGTCCTCTTACGACGATTGGCTCTCAGAAACATTGGGAGAGAACAAGTAGAAGCATTTATACAGCGATACCAGCTGTACGGCCGACAGCGTCAAGATATTGATTATATTATGATCCATTTTGATATCCGCACGGATGATCGTGGTGCTGTCAATGGTATGATTCGTAATCTTTTGGAGAAATAAAGACGTGATCCCGATTTCGTTGCTAATTGTAGAAATTATGGCCAACGAGGCAATAAATAATATTTCGTAGGGTGTAGGCGCAAGTGCGCATCATCCTTCAACGAACAACAGCAACCAGTCGAACAAATCCAAGAGAATATTAAATCCATATGCTACTCAATATAACTCAATAGACAACATTTTTGACGGTGTTTTTTATCTTGTGACAAAAAATGTTTTCGAACAGTTCTCTTTTTTAGTCAACAATTTAATTTGGTCGTACTGCTTGTGAAGAAAATACTCTTTGACACATCACACATTGACAGTGTGATCTGAGTGACATATTTTAATCGGTCCTTTAATGAGTTCATATTGTTTGGCAGTTGGTTTATAGCTACCTCCCCAAGATGAAATGTAGCTTATTTGGTAACGATCCATGGCATCTATGGCATCACGGTTTCTTAAATATTTATTGAAAAAATACAAAACATTGATCATTTTTATGGAAAATTACAGTGGAAAATTATTATTCAAAATGTACCGAAAATGTATTGAAGAAAAGAAAAAGAATGAAATTTTAATGAAATAATTTTGAAAAGATGATGCTATCATTTAAACGTAATTAACATCTGTTAAAAACATTCGTAGTTCACTCGTATTCGCTATAAAAGTGAGACAATTTAATCGACTCATCTTCGAAAAATAAATAGAAATAAACCAAGCGGATGAATTGTTCAGTTTTATTTATTCTTTTGTACAGTTTGATCAACATCGATTGCTTTTCGGATACGTTGGTAGTAGAGTTTTGACGTTGTTTAAATATTGAATCTTCGAATTGAATGGAAATATAAAAAATAAATATTTTAATAAATTCACATGATAGAACAAAGATTTTTATTCATCAATTAAAGAATACAATTTCATGTTTGAGTTTAATATGTTAAGGATGAGCAAAAAGATAATCGACTTGCTTTAATACAAAAAATCAATTATTAATTCATATAATCTTATGTATAAACAAGTTATAAGGTTTCCATCAAAATTGTGCTTTTTATTTGGAATTTCATATATTCAAAGATATTACAGATTTCTCGAGTAATTTCTTTACTTTTTTCAAAGTGCCTTCGTACTCAGTGTTGTCAGGATTGATTCCAAGGGGAACGACTCTAGTCGCATGCTTTTGTCTTTTGATTGAAATCTTCTCAGCATATGATTGGAATTCTTTATTCACCTTACTGAGCTTATTGAACAATTTTTCGACTTCAGAAGATCTCTTTTCACTTAGATTTACATCATTCATGCCATTTTGGATCGCTGCTAAAATAGGTTCAAGACCACGTGTCTCCATTCGTCCCAACAAGTCATTAATGTTAGTTATTGCACTTGCAACTTTCTCCGCTTCTGTTGGATTTGCAGCTTCACCCAAATCGATTAGCTATATTATAAAAATAAAAAACGAAAATGGTAAAACAAGGGCCGAAGCAGTACTAGAATAATGATTTTTATAATCGAAAAAATAACAATAAAAACAAGTAATAAATAAGAAAATTACAGTTAAAGCAATGACACAGAACAAAACCCCAACAAAATTCATTTTATTTTTATTTAGTGTTAAACGACTAAACACCACGAAAATACTGTATATTCTTGAACTGTTGGTTGCCTTTTATATACAATTTTTGTGCAATCGACAAAAAATACTTAACTATTCAATATTTTGCGTGCTGTAAAACAGTTGTACAAAACATTCCTAGAATGTGGTATATTCATAAAAATGTATTATTTGAAATATTATTCATATTTACACATTTCTTTCAATTTTTCAAATGTTCAAAAGTAAGAATAGTAAATTATCTCACATAAACAATTATTGCGTTACGCATTTAATTTTGAATACGACATCTGAAGAAGAAGAATCAGCACCGCCATAATCTATAAATAACATACGCATTTTTATTATTCTTTATTATTTAGCAACTTTCCTACTAATTTTTCGTATATTTCATAATTTCATTTTTAAATTTAATCTCTTTGGATTTTCTTCTCTCAATTTTATCGGGAGAGTGTGATTTGCTAGGGATTTTTCACAAGAAAGTGAAGACATTTTTTTTGTTGCTAATCAACGTTATAGATGGAAGAAATTTTTTTAAATTGCTAGGGTTTTTCGCGAAAAATTCTTTCGATATGCTAGGGATATTCGTCAAAAGAATGATCTCCAAAAAACGAAAAAATTCCGTTTTGCTATAAATAAATAAATAAGTTCCTCCTGAGGTAAATAAATTCCGAATATCGAAGTCCTATGGATAAAATCAATTAAATTCACATTTATATCGAAGTCCTATGGATAAAATCAATCAAATTCACATTTATTCCCAAGTCC